CACACACGCGCATGCATGCACACATATACACGATCTCACTATAAGGAACTTTTAAGCGTGCACAGCACCATGTCATTTTGAAGAGTGAATTCTTAGTAGCACTGAAGAGTGAATCCCTATTAACATTCCACTTAAAGTATTTGTAGCACTTTTGCGTGATTGGGTGGCAATAGCTTGAACTTTAGAGGTGAGGATAGCCGGGCATAACCTGCTTAGCGCAAGGTTGTGCAAACATTGCTCACCTCTCTGAGGCTCACTGTGGGGAGAATTCGAAGCGGATCCATATCAGGTCAAGAATGGCTGGAGGAACTTGGATCTTGCCTTCTTTTTCTGTTCATGTCCTCCAGCTATATTGGGAAATGCTCATCCTGACCCCTGGATGACAGGGTCCTCCATAAAGATATGGAGTTCACCCTGGTAGTCAGTTTTTTGAGACATTTAACACAATTGGGTGATTGACTTAAAATTAGGCAGGTGCTAGGTGCTGGTTGGTAGTTAGGGAGGACCCTTCAACAAAATATGATGGGACTGTTTAAAGTTGGAAGGTTAGCCTTGTCAAGTTAATTAAAGAAAATTTTAATGTTATTTCTGTCTCCTATAGATGGACTATTACTGTCAATCTCAGTTTAACTTTCTATTATTACTTTGTCAGCACTCTTGAGTTAAACTGTCGTCAGATCTTGCTGTGCCTGACTCCTCTTGTTATTTGTTTGTGGCTCCCGAGGAAAAGAAATTAAAATTTAGTGCTTCAGTCTACTAAATTTTTGTTTTGAAGGATACACAAAAATGTTAAATCCCAAATTTACATGTTAACTAATGTAAATGCCAGCTCTGGATCCACTACAAACCTGTTCCCTTCCTTTGCAATTTTTAAATTAAAACATATTTATATTAAAGTAATCAAACTTTGATATGTATAACTTACTTTATTTTGAAAAGATACCATAATGAAAATTGAATATCCCAATGTAAACTGCTTCTTACCCTTTTGCCAGTTAGTCAACCATCTTGTGTACAGTGGCTCCACCTCTTTGCAGCCAAACAAACTGCAATGCCGTCTGCTACCCAGACACAACAACCTGCCATTAGTAATTTTGACCTATATGTGATCTTATAGATTAGGTTGTTTATAGGCCACAGACAGAATGGAATGGGCTTTTGATTACCATGCTTTTTCATGTTTGGTGAATTCTGCAACTTTTTAGCAGCATCCAGAAGTAATGGAGAGATTCAGAAAAATAGTTTTCTTCCAGTTTAATTAAGATTTGATCACTTTGTTCATTGCAAATGTCAACCCCTTTCTTTAGAAGGTACAAAACAAAGCACAGTGCACCCTTGGGATGAATAACCAGAACTGTGCCAAATTTAATTTAAAAAAAAATGTTTCCAAAAAGGGTGAGTGGTTCCTTCAGGAATTGACCACTTCTTGGGAGGTGCATTGCAAGTATAGGTAGAGGACCACACATTATCTTAGACCACACAGCATGGGCCAGCAGCAATACTACCCATTGATGTTGTGTTTTCTCTCTTGAATAATAAGATTAGCTGTGTTTTTGTTAGATAATTTGACAACAAATAATCCATCACGCTGGCAGACACAAGGAATAATATGAGAAATGGTTTAGGTTACAGCTATGAGACAATAGCCACTGCTGTTATGCATGCATATATAGGGCATAACCACTACATGTGCTTCATAAGTACCTGGCTAATTTTTTTTTTTTGTTTTNTTTGGTTGGAACTATACAGACTTGCATCTGTTGTCAAATATTATATGGATAGGAAATGTGTTTTGACCAAGTTGATATCATATGTCTAAAAACCTTATTAAAGGCATGAATTTCTTTAACCCCAAGAAGCTGAGAACATCTGTTACAGAATATTTAGTTGTTTTTTTTTAATTTGGACAATTCCAAATCTCATCTAATAGTTCCAGCAGCTCTTTGTGGTAGAAAAAAAAAAAAAAAAACAGATTCAACCTGTGCCTGTCCTTCATTATGAACAGTAGGACTGCACAGGACTAACATGAGTTATGAAACATCTGTTACCCAATGTTAAATGAGTATGATAGCTTTTCATTAATCATCTGCAATTTTGTTTTAACAAATGTCAGAGCAAGCCAATGTGATAGATTTTTAAAAAATTAATCTCCCTGCCAATCCAATATATACTTTCTGTCTTTTGCCCAGGTGAAAGGAAGCATTTAGTCACTTTTACTGTTATATTATTGCTCCCCACCCAAGGTGAGATGCATGAAGAATTTAAAGAGTTTAAAAGTCAAACAGTTTTGCCTCAGGCATTCTGAAATAAAGACAGTGTATATGGACACAGATGACAGAGAGGGGGGGGTGAGAGGGATAGAAAGGGGTGTATGATATCTACTCCACCCTAATGCCTGCATTTCCTAGTAATGTCTGTGTTAGCCTGTGCACATATACCTAGTGATGTCTGTGTATTTTGGATACAGAAACCTACAGCATAAGTGCACAGAGGGCAAGTGAACAGTGTGTTGCTAAGTCCACCTGAACTTGGAACTAAGTGTATGACATATAACCTTGCAGGTGTCCCTCTCATGAGTCATATTGTTTTCACTGCCAGACAGCTTGAAGCTAGCATCACATGTTTCTTTACATAAGATTGACCTTCTTAAAAAATGAAAAAAATAATCTGTGAATGAAAAAATCAATTGACTTTATGTTTTATTTTTTTGTATTTTTATGATAAAATGGATCTTGAAAAGAATGGGAGGAATAAGATCACCACAGAATCACACCTATCTTGTCTTGATGTTCAGTTTAGCCTGGGTCTGTATAGTGGGCCCTGAATTTAGCACTACCATCCCACAGCCCAACTGCTCTCATTATGTCATGTCCAAGAAATTATGTGATATATGCTAATACATGTAATTGACTTATGGGCATCATTTTTAATTCATTACTGACTTGAATGTAGGTGGTCAGGTAATACAGTAACCAGGATGGGGCTTGCATGAGGAAGATGCAATATCACTGTTGTCTTAGTAGATATTGGCATTGTAAGTTCAATAACATATTTAGAATGTTTGATGACTGTATGGAAATAGTTAGTAGGTATTTTTTTGTTTATAAATTTTTGATACATTTGCTTAAGGCAACTTGGACCTTAATTTGTTGTATGCAAAGTTATTTTTGAAGTTTGGTGGTACATGTATTTTGGCTCGGGTTTTCTTTTGACCTACACTTATTTCTGACCCTATCTTGTATCTTGGCTGGTAACTTGGAGAAATTGTAATCATGTCATGTTATAAAGTGAGATCAAGTTGTGTAACAGTCAACTGTGCCATGGATTGGTGCCTGTACTTACAACAATTCTGAAAACTTTGACAACCTGGGATAGGATAAAAAAGATAAAAGTATGTAAAAAATGTAAGTTTGTGTTGACAAGAAAAAGGTAGGTCCAAACATAATGTTTATTTATGTCGTTTTAGAAGGAGACATTAGGTTTTTCTGGATATTTGACAGACATATGACATTCAAAGAAAACTGATCTTCACAGTTTGGAATGTGTCACAGCTACACGGAAATGATTTCTTTAGAGGACATGTGTCGTGTTAACCTTGACCTACTGAGTACGACCTTTGCAACTAGCAGACAGCAGATGGTGACCTCTGACCCTAAGCAGTTACTTTGTCAAAGTTCAGATGTCCAAAATAATATAGGCAGTTACAAAGTGTCATTCACTGGAGTGAAGCATAATAGTTGGTGGCATGCAGCCATTTACAAAATGTAAAAAAAAAAATGGCTTGAAGAGTTAGGGAAATATATTATTAAAGTTAATAGCAGGAAGCAGTTTATAAGAAAAAAATTGTTATGTAGCATACCCGTCTTATACCCTAAAGCTTTTCAGTTGATTGCAAGTGTTAATAGTGCTCTTGAAAAGTAGTTTTTTTTTAAATAAAATACAGTATAATTGTATGGCATTTTTAGAATATATGGTTTGCATTGAAAAATGCAGATGATTCATAAAGTCCTACATGTATCTTGTTGATCATTTTTTTTACCATCAAGAAAACAAATCAGTTACATTATATCCCTGCCAACAACTCCATAATTATATATATATATATATATATATATATATATATATATATATATATATATATATATATATATATATATATATAATATGATTTGAGTATTGTTTCTTTGTGCCCTCTTGATCTTAGTCACTTTAAAATCTTTATTCCTGGTACTTGGTAACGACATCCCACTTACCACTCAAGAAACATACCATTTATATTAGAAGTCCCCCTAAAAAATACATCTTCTTGATAAAATTGCCCCCTTTTTAGTTCCTGTTAACATACATAAAATTTCTTGGAAAGTGATAAGAGGTGATGCAGCAGATGGCAGTTTACATTTGATTGCATCTGGTGACTGATGACTTTGAGGCATGATTATACCAAAAATGAGGTCACCCCAATTATTTTTGTGGTAATGAGCAAGAACCTTGGCATGCCTTGAAGGGTTACATGTGAAATTATAAGGACTGTAATTGATAACCAATTATATGATATTAATTTTACATTTAATGTTTGGGAAGTGGCAGTTTAATAACTTGTTTTCTGTGGCCGTTTTACTTCTTAATTGAATTTAATCTGCACAAACTGTGAGGCACTTATTATCAGGGACTAGTTTACAGTTTATCAGTTTTGTGCAAAATTTCTCAAAAAATAAGGTGTCTTTTTAACTTTGCAACCTGATATCTTAATTTACAAAGTTTCCCTATTTTATGAAATATTCTGATAAATGACTATTTGTACTACATTTATTTCTGTTGAAAATTATATGTCAATGTCTTTTTTTTTTTAATAAATGTTGTTTGTCCTTATTCTAATGTCTAATCAGTTCTGTTTTTTTTTTTTTTTTTTTTTTTTTGAGGGCAATGATATTAGATATATCACCTACTCTATAAGATGATTCTGGTTCTTTATATATTGACATGCCCTATGGTTGTTTCAGGCTGGCACCTTATACTGCTTGGTAACAGAATATGCTGCAGGAGGGGAGCTACTTAGCTACATTAGAACACAGAAGGACTGCAGGCTCTCTGAGCAGCAAGCATGGCCGTATGTACGCCAACTTATTTCAGCACTCTGCTACCTGCACGAGAGAGGCGTGGTGCACAGGTAAGGGTCACTATATTAAGGTAATTCCCCTCACATACAGACTAGCATACCTTGCAGACCACCAGGTGGACCACTGTATCACTGGCCCCACATGTACAAACCTGACTTAACATCCCTTACAACCCTCCAATTAGACATCGTAGTATACCCAAATTTCTGAGTCTTTGTATAAAAACAGCAATATTTTGTGGTACTTGAAAGACAGAGGGTCCAGAAATGTCAGACTATCAAGTGCGGTGAAGTTATGAAAAAAAGCTGACAGAATTTATCAGAACATATATCTTTCTTTCTTTCTTTTTTTTTTCTCTCTCTTAACTTCTACAGAATGACAATCTGTTGCACAACAGTACAAATTCACCATGTTTTGCATGCCATGCTTGCATTAATTTCCCGGCACACAGGGTTTCACCTTTTTTCTCAAAAATGTTAATGCAGATGCTCACACATTTTCTGGTCCCTATGATGTCATGCAGTGCTGACAGTCTCATCTCACGTGATCTCCATTACCTAGGATTTTTTTCAGGCCCCTGATACATACTTATCATTGAACCCTCTTCCACCCCACCCTCCTGTATCTGTATTAACACCTGTAGCTGTGGCTGTTCTGCCTTGTGGACCACTTGGATCTTCATCTCTCTCTGCATCAGATCTTCAGGCCCCTTGTCCACAGTACTGGAGATTAACTCCTATCAGGCTGATTTATCCCTATCAGGCCTCTTAGAAACATACAGCTATAGCACTTATTCCCTTGTGAGTCTTGGTCATGCAGATACCTTGCTAGCCCCTGGTGTCTCCTTTTTCTGACTACTATGAACAGATCCTATTGCAGGGTTAATGAAAAAGCAATTGAAGTGAATTGTTTAAACTATGAGTGAGGGACTGGCTTTAATGTGAGGAAAGAAAAAGATAAGCTGTATAATTGTAGTTATTCTGGAGTGGATTACTCAGTTCATATTAAATGCTCATTTTCAAGCATCGTTAGCTTTTAATATTATGAGTAAGAGAAATCAATACACGTTGACAGTTTTCAAAGGCACATTTTGTCATTTTATCAGAATTTTTCCTGGGACATTTGATTTGTACTATATCTCTTTGTGGTCAGATTTTATCTGTGATGAAAAAGATGCATTTCATTATGGTGTAATTCATATACATGTTTATGTTGCTCATGAGTTTTTTATCACTCATCATGAAATTTTTGCTTGCTCTTCATTTTTTTACTGCTTTTGAAATGTGCAGGTCATTTTTTCAAAGCTGCTACCAGGAACTTTCTATGGTGTACGTTATATATGGCATAAAATATGTATGGGTTTTTAAAAATAATAACTAATATTGTATACAATATCATAATCAACTACTAAAACAATAGCATCCAAGCAACACAAAAAAATCTTTTCTTGAAACATTACCCAGAGTTTACAATTAAGTATAGTTGTAGAACACATTGGATTTTGCTACTTATATGTGCAAATTCTCCATGAATATAATTTTGAGCGTGTATTGAAACTGTATTACAAAACACTGTGCAGTGCCGTAAGTTCAAGTCAAGAATGTAGCCACCTGGTGTCCTCACAATGTGACAGCTCTAGCTTCATAATTCTGCACCATTGTACATGTCCAAACATCCCTGTAATGAGTGAGTGATAGGCACTGACATTGGATAGGAGGCTGACTAAGCATGCTGGACCCCCTTGGTGGAAACAGGTGTGTGGTGCCCCCCCTCCCTCCCCCCAAGTGGTACACTGCTTCCAAACTCCCAACCTCCTTTGATCCACAGTTGAACACTAAAACATATGGTTTTACACCTTTGAGAGAAATAGAGAGGGGGGGAGAGAGAGAGAGAGAGATGGGAGTCACATTGCTTCCTGTGTGACACAAAAGCATATCATTTCTTCAACCCTGGATTTCTGATATAGTATCAAGTTAATGCAGTAACCCAGCTGTCTATGATACAAAAATAAATTGACACATTTTAGTATCCTTTGTCCATTAAAAGTTATACAAAATTATGTCAACAATAGATTGTTAAGGCATTTGCAAGTTGGGTGTGTACTTAATGGGCAAACTAATAAATTCATGTGAGACTACATATATTGTATGCATAAACAAAGCTGTGGTCCATAAATTAAGTTGGGGTCACTTTGGTCAGTGAAGCACAATTTTTTATGCAATTTTTTTCCTGAAAAAAGAAAATAATTACACATCCCTTGCAGGTCCAATTTGTCTGTCTGTCTGCATGTATAATCCTTCTTAAATGTTGGTATTACTGGCTGATTACTGGAAAGAGAAGCCAATGCCCTGTGCAAGACAACACACACCTCAGATAGTACCAGCAAGTGGTATGAAAATGGTTAATCAGATTTAGCTCAGGTCTTATTGGGCAGATGAAAAATACACAGCACACAGAGACTATCTGTAACATCTCATGCACAACTGTTGATTTGTGATGTTTTATAAATTAACAGACATGGTCAGTATTTAACTTTTTAAAGAGGTTCCCACGCCACTGATATGTAGTGGTGCAGTCCTTTGGCAAGTCCGAATATAGCATTTTGTGAATTCTTTCTGTGTTGGTCACTGAGCAGCAATGTGTAATCGATCTCAAGACCAGAAAAAACTCAATGTCTAAAGGGATTTGACCACCTTGTAAGTCAGTCGGCTAACCTTTTCAGGAGCAAAGCTCTCTGTTGATATTTTTTTCACTTCTCGGTGGATTCTGTTAAGTATTTTAAGTCAGATTTAGAGATATGTCTGTGTTAGTGTGCGTGCATGCATGCATGCATATGTCAGCTGATGTGTGTGTATGTGTGTGTGTACGCACACATGTGTGCGGGGGGGGTGTATACACACACTCAATAGAAATGTTCACTGAATAATAATTAAAATTGCTCTCAGTATAAGGATCCCCATATACACACCCCATAAGTTCTTGAAAGTTTCAAATATCTTCTCAAATATACATTTGGGTGCACTTCTATATTCTGAATGTACAGATAGAGTGCAAAAATAGCACAAAAAGATAGCAAGATCTCACAGGAGAATATACGCATACAGATAGCAAAATGGCTTCTTTGACACGAAGGTTAGTGATCGCTTTAATTATGCAACTAATGCAATTTGTGGTGTGAGGCTGTGGCATCAATAAACTTATTCAGAATACTTATCTTCAATCAGAATAGCCAACCTTTGGAATTGCTAACCCTTTTTTTCTTCAGAATATCGAAATCTTTTTTTTTTTTTTTTTCAGGATAGCGAACCTTACTAAAAGCAAACCCTTTTTCCTTCGAAATAGCAAACTTAGGAAAAGTGTTCGATTTGAGATCAAGGTACCTTTAGCTTTCAAAATAGCAAACCTTCAGAATAGCGAACCTTCGGAACATAGAGCTGACCCCTACATTTGAGGTCCAACAATGTACCAATTATTTTCAAATAAAAACAAATCAACAGACATTGTCCCACTAGGAGCACTGTAAGCACTGTAGTTGTGTTTGATTCTGAATAGTTGATATTACCAAAATGGCTTAAGCTCTACATTTGCTCATACACACATTTGGTGAATTCTAAGGCTGTATTCCCAGAGTTTTTAGATCGATCTATCCCTGCGGGGAGTCTCACTAGATTACTGTCAGATAATCCGGCTTAAATGTCCGTCCCGCCTACTACAAGCTGTAAGGGGGTAATTAACTTTCGTGTCCGCTTGGCTGACAGCTATTTAGCGTGAACCCCCAGGGAGTTAGGTCGATCTAAAGTTGATCAATCTAATCTTTGGAAATGGGGTCTAAGGTTTCCTGGTTTATATTCCATGTTAAGACAGTGGCAGCTACTGATCTGCCAAAGAAAACAACAAGTGGCAGATGACATCCAACCACATGTAACCATAACAACGGTAGCACTTAATCTTGATGAAGTCCCTCTAAATGTCCCCCCTCTCTCCCTATCCTAGTTGTGCCATTTGCAGTTGGCTTAGAACAGGTAATAATGTTAAGGACATAGTTAACTGTAATCGTATCATAAAACAGAAATCCTGGCAATGTAATATTCTTTGTAACTGTTTATTATTATTATTTTTTTAATATTAAATTTATATTTTTCTAAAAAAGACGATTTTGTTAAACAACTGTTAGGTGCAGTTAGGTGTGTTCTTGAGACCAGAGTTCTGTATGTCTCTGATATGATCTTTCTTCCTTTCCATCTGCCCCCCCTCCCCTGACCCTTCCACAAAATTCAGCATTTAGTGTTTTTATACATGCATTCAGTTGTGGTTTGAATTTTTTTTTTTTTTTTTTACTAGTGTGTCTGAATAAATTTGTTAGTGTCTCATTGTTGGAACATACTTTCATTCAGCTGCCAGCAGAATGTCAATTAAAATCTGGTATTTTATTTTAAGTGAGTATGCGCTTGTTGTGTATTTTGGATGACTAGTAATTTGTTGAGCAGACCATGGACAACATTGCAGGGCGGAGTGTCTGGGATATGTGGTTTTATGATTCACAGCGTGGGTATGCAGGTAGATTGTGCAGCTGGAAAAGTAAAACTTTTACTTGAGTGAACACATTTCAAGATATCAAATGCATGTGCATGTACAAGATTATGTTAATTCAAATACAAATTCCACATGAAATTGCAAGTGATAACCCAGCCTCCCATCCATTTTACAGGGGACCTTTTTTAAAGCTTGCAAAGTAGATGTTAGTAAGACTTATGTAATACAAAAATCAGCAATGAAATTATTCTATTTTTGAATCTGATGTCATGTTTGATGTCTTAATACATGCAATGTAATTTGATATACTTGTTATCATGAAAGAAATTCATTAGTATTACACTTTGGTGTGCAGTATTTACTGTATAAACTGTTATTTCACATAGTAAATGATTAGGTAAGCAGTGTGATGACTGAGTTGACAAGGTCGCTTTGCACAGTGTGTCTTTGTCTTGCTTCCAAAAAACTGAAAATGAGAGCTCACTGCATCAACTTTGCCACATCCTCAGGCAGGTAG